CAAAACAAAACAGGATATTCCCACTTCCCTTGGTGGCCTAAAAGAAACTGAAGGTAAGACCATATTATCAGAAGATATCACACACTGAAGATATAGAACTTGGAGAAATCAAGATATGATTGATGGGGCAGCCTCTTCCCTGTTAAGATTGTATTTAGAATATAGATAATGACACTGCAAATTCAAGGTTGCTCCTGATGACAGTCGTTAGCACAAGAAGCTGCTTAATGGCTCACTTCTCCTTTAGTTAATTTCAACCCATTTTATTTACTTCGGTTTGTATGCATTTGTTTTGTTTTCTGTGAAACCTATATCTATCCCTCTCTCACTTCTTCCACTCTGGAAAAACCGCTGTTCCTTGTTTGTTGACAGGGCACCCCGCAAGCTCTCAGTTGGCTTTTTTTTTTTTTTAATACATCTGAAGTGTGGAAGTGTGGCATAGGTGTTTTAGGCTTCCATGATCCCTGGTACCCACACTTGATGCCTTGTAGCTGCCAAGGCACAAAGGCAGCAGAGCTGGAGGCAGCTGTTTGCATCCTCCGGTCTTGGTCTTTACTTCATATATAGGCGAGGGATCCTGGTGAGCCAAACCTCACGCGCCACGCCCTGTGGCCCTGTGATCGTTTCTGCTCCCCTGGGCGCAAGGGATCAGGGTGGGTCTGGCGCGTGCCCTGTGGTCGGTTGTTACCACCCTGGGCGCAAAGGCCCACCTTTCCCTTTCAGCACAGATGTCAGTTTGTACTGGGGCAGAGCTGTTGTCTGGGGAGTTTGCTGGCATCTTACAAAGAGGTCTAGGAGACTCCGAATTTACAACTTTCTCAGACAAATAGATTCTCACCTTCCAGCCTGCCTCCCCAAAGCCAAGGCACCCAGTAAGACAACTTCCAACAGCCTCAGCAGGTACACCTCTAAGAGGGGAGCAGGTGGGAGGGACTGCCTTCCTGAAATGTTAAGGGTGAGCATTAGGCTCTCTGGCAAGAGCATTCCCATTGATGAATCCTGATGCACAGCTGCCATATTTAAGGCCCTTTCCTGTTTCTTAGGAGTATTTGTCCAGCTATTGGATCTCTACCAGTCAAACTACTTTCCATTAGTTCATTTCCACATCCTGGTGTGTGTTTCCTAAGGCTGGTGCAACAAGGTAGCATAGACTTTGTGACTTGAAGTGGAAGTTAGTCACTACCCAGTTCCTAGATTAGACACTCAAACTTAAGGTGTTTCCAGGGCAGGTTTCTCCTATAGAGTTGTAGTGAGACAAGTGTGTACTTCTCTGCTCACTTCTGGTAGTTGTTTGCAATCATTACTGTCCTTTGACTTATAGACCCAATTGATATTGAGCCAATATCTTCCTCAAATGCAGGGACATTCAACTGTCTGTGTGCCTGTGTCTGGGTATTTACTTTGTATTAGAAAGCACTTAGATTGGGGCCTGATCTGGTATAACATGAACTCAACCTGATGACATCTTCAACCACCCTAACTCCAAACAAGGTCACATTCACAGGTTCTGCATATATCTGGAGCGGGACACATTTCAACCCACAGCAACATGAAAACTCATTACTTTTTCTCATTAGGAAACTCCCCTTGACCACATTTCCTCTCTCTAGTAATACTTTGGAGTATTTGTCCAGCTATTACTCTCTATTTTAACTACATTTCTCTCAAATTCTTATATTCATGGTCCTTCTATTTCCTCTCTGGCAGTTAGTTGTCTAGGAGACTTAAGTCAAGTAGGTATTGGTGTCTCTTGAGTTACTGAAATTGCTGCTGCTCTGCATGTTCCAGACACCAGGCTTCATTGTTTTTCTCACACATATTTGAAATGTATATACCTGTCACCGGGCGTGCATATTTAAAATTTTATAAGGTGTCTCTTAGACCTTTTACCTGACACGTTTTCTGTTTGGCTGGAATACTGACAAAAGCTTACAAGAAAAAACTATTTGTAGCAGAAGCAGAAGCTGACAATTCAGATCCTAGAACTGCTACTTTCTCCTCAGCATTACTCAAGGCCAAGCTTACCTTGTTTCCTGGGACTTTATTGTCAAGTTCAGGTGTGGCTGAAGGTGATGGAATAATCCAGTTACTTATCCATATCACTCTCCACCTCACTCTCCATATTACTGTGCCATTATTGTCTCCAAAGTAAGATGAACACTGTTTAAGACATTCCCAAAGGAAGCTGCACTCTTCTGAAGTCCCTCTACAGTGGTAGGCAAGCGAAGCGTACACCTAAGTTAGCGCTGGTTTTGAGGTGTTTACTTCAGAACTCAACAGAAATATCTGCATACTCATCTCTGCAGTGCTGATCCTGACTATATTAGAGTCCAGATCCCCAATTACTTTTAAAGCTGTTTTTATTTGCT